TAGATACATAGATACATAAATATACCTGTATATACACTACACATACGTGTGTACGAACACACATATACGAGTCGTGCGTATGGCTACTCACCGGTGGTAATTCGGCCCACATGACTTCGCGTGTTGTGGGTCCTACAGTGTTGGCTGGTGCTCCCTCTGGGATGATTGAGCTTCTGGAGGATATAGTGAGGGTATAACATGAGCTATCTCTATTCCGAACTGAGTTGATTAAACATGCCGCTCTTCTATCTATTTAGGTGCATGTTGACCATAAAACACCACTACGTATATAGAAGTACATAGCACACCCTATAGTAGAATATATAGTAAACATAGTATATAGTACATAGTGCACATAATATACAGGGCACTATATATAAAACCTTACCCATAAAACCCTATACTAAAATATATAGTATTTATAGTATATAGTACAGAATGCATACAGTATACAGCACACAGTATATAAAAAACCCTACGTCTAAAACCCTATAGTAGAATACATCGGATATAGCTCATAGTGCATATAGTACACAATACACTATATATACAAAACCCTACGCATGAAATCCTATAGTAGAACATATAGCATTTATAGTATATAGTACATAGTGCACATAGTACACAGCACACCCTATATACAAAACCCTATGCACGAAACCCTATAGTAGAATATATCGTATATATAGTATATATCACATAGTGTACATCACACCCTATATACAAAACCCTACGCATAGAACCCCATACTAAAATATATAGTATCTAGTATCTAGTATATAGTATAACATAGTACTCAGAACACCCTACATACAAAACGCTACCCATAAAACCCTATAGTATGCCGAGGATACATACTCTTCATCCTCTGCCTCTGGCTGGTGCTTTTCTTTGATCATATCCGCCAGTGTTGTCTTGCGCTTAAGCCGCTTCTGCGCGGCTTTGGGAGTTGACACACTAGGCTTCCTCTCGATAATCATCGCATTACATCGTTTGAGGACCTTGCACACCTGCAAAGTAGGTAGATATATTAAAGAACTTTACATATCTGCAAAGTGGGTAGATATATTTAAGGACTTTACATATCTACAAAGTAGGTAGATATATTTAGGGACTTTACATATCTGCCAAGTAGGTAGATATATTTAAGGACTTTACATATCTGCAAAGTAGGTAGATATATTTAAGGGCTTTACATATCTGCAAAGTAGGTAGATATAATTGAGGACTTTACATACCTGAAGAGTAGGTAGATATATTTAAGGACTTTACATATCTGCAAAGTAGGTAGACATATTTAAGG